GATCAAAGAATCAATTACCCTGATATCGCCAGCATGTGTAATGTTATAATAAGATGCGTTACATTGTAAAACTTAGCAGTATGTGCGTCCTCGAGGAACCCGCTTCCGCAAGTTCAACTACTTAAATACATCCATTAAGACGGAATCACTAGCTACGCATTCGGATATCAGAAGTATTAAAATTCATGCCAACAAAAGATTTTCCTCTTGACTATCTAGCGGTATCTTCATCTCCAATCTTTTCTTTTTACAAGAACGACGCAGAGTCAGACGCTTTATCTTCAATCTTCTTTCACGTTCAGCTAATAAAATCTTCAATTCATTCATGTAACTTCGCCTTTTCTTTTCCAAAGCTAAGACTTTAACGCCTGCGCCTCGTTTACTTTCGTAAGGCTGCTTGTTCGGTCATGAAAAAGGACAACTAACCTCTCAAGCACAGCCATGCATTCCTCTGTGATCTCTTGTGGTGATGCCTTGAGGACGTTTAGCGGTGGTGTTAGTTTAGGAGACACTTTTTTATACATCCCAAGCCGTTTTTTCCACGCCCTCCGAAAAACGAAACAGTATCACACCCAGTTAGCGCATGGAACATTGGTAGGGTCGAGGCTTTATCAGGACCCAGGAGCATTGCTATTGTATGTGCAGGGATATTCTGTACATTCTTTCCAGATCCATAAGTGATCCAGAGTTCATTTGTTGGAACAGTGATAGCCACTGAAATTGGAACTACAACAACATCTGTATCATTAATTCTTATTCTAATTCGTCGATGTCCGCATGAGGCTGCATCAAGTATATGGACCATAAGGCGAGTGTCTGCTTCTTCGTGTGTGCAAGGCGCGATTAAGCTCACCTCCGTTTTTTCAGTACTCGATAGGATACCCTCGCCATAGGAAGAGTAGTTGCTCTAACCTCCAGTGAAATCACCTTAAAAAAATAATACAAATTTTTGTGATTAAAGCATGTATAGAAAGGTGTTTGAAGTCTGTCAAGAGAGACACAATTCTGTTACAAAAGTAAGCAATACCAGTTACATAGTTTGTTTGCAATGAGTTTGAAAAGTTTGTCCTTGTTATCGTCGACTCACGCAAAGCCCTTCCAGTCAGAAGGAATTCTTGTTGATGCTAGTACCACCGTATCATCCACGATTTTCCTGGTATGGATCGCCACCAGGTTTCCTACTACTTCTAGGACCGGGTTGCAAAGTTCTTGAAATGAAGATAGTGTATTCAGTACCTCCTTGCAGAATGCACTGTTGGTACCTGACTTCTGCTCATGATGGTCATTTTCCTCTGTTGGATTGTTGCTACCTTCGAGCTCTTGAATCATCCTGGAGAGCTCAGGACCTGCACCATCCATCTTCTCAAAGCTGATGGATTCTCCGTGAGACAAACTGTGCCTCCTTCCCCTTTAACTTTAGCACTCTCCTGCTCGTGCGCATGATCAAAGGCTATGACAGAAGACAGCTCCGTGATCTTGTGCACAGCAAAGTAGCCTTGGCTGAAATACCTGTACGTACCTGGATGCGTGAATGGAAGGACATACATGTCCCTGTAGTCAACCGAAAGCCAACTGGCATAATTAGAATGGTCCATCACAAACATTCATGGCAGTATCGCTCGCAAGGCATCGATGTACGTGGGGAAGTCACCTTTTTGGAAGGCTCTGATAAGGCGCAGACAGATTACTTCTAGTGTGAGCAGGGAGGACCAGTTCTGAAACTGTGGTGACTTCTTTGCCATTTCATCTTTCCATTCTTCTTTGGAAAACATGTTCTCTTGCTCGTTCTCTCTTGATTTGGCTTGATATTCATTGTAGGCTTTATTTATCAGAATATGCAGACTTGCAGCTGTCACCTGGTGTGCACATCGTGTACGGGTTACATGGTTGGCGAAAGGAATGACTCAGCTTCCTCCTGTGTTGCTACTCCAGCGTTGCACATAACTTCCTTCCATCCAGTACCACTCAGCCACTTCAAGGACGCCATCTCCATGTGAAATTCCCCACGCATTAGGACAAGGTTTACTTCACTGAACTCGACGATGATCCATTGAATTTGCTTTGCTAAAGCAAACAGTGACTGATCTAATGCGATGACTGGTGTCTGTGAGCATTCCATCTAAAAAGCTGTACGATTCCTCGGCCCTGATGTTAAAACTAAAGCTTTGTGACCCTTAAGCGGGATTTCTATAGCTATGTTGTTTCGTATCGCTGCAACTTTTTTTATATATCACACACCACTCATCATTGATGTTTCACCCAAAAAATATAATGTACCCAAATATTATGAAAAATATCAAAGATGGGCACGTGATGGCATAAGAGTTAAAATGACTCATTGGTTATGTCGGAAAGCGTTGTCATTTAAGAGGATTTTTTATTCTTAGTTTCGCTTCCATGTTAGTGAATTTCTGACAGGCGTGGTTCTCGTCTCCAAAAGATAATTTGGATTGGCCCCTTTTATCAGAAAGAAAGTCATCTTTTTTTTAACAACTGTCGGTTACAATTTGTCAATTTCTCCGCCAATCGGCTTAATTTCAACCGTTTTACGGCTATCGGTAAATCCCATTAAGACTCTATATTTCTTATGCTGTTCAGATCCAAATAAATCACTTTAATTGTGACTCCAATATCCAAACTGTTCAGAGTCATTTTCCTTCTATCATGTCTTTTGTTACAAGTACGCCAAAGCTTTTTCACTTTAAACAGACAACTAATATACCGACAAGGGGGCATAATTCCGTGAGCTTTTGATTTAAAGTGATTTATCCGATTGGGAAAACAAAGGAGTTCTAATCACGATCAGAGGCAAAAAACGGCAAAAACTGAGAACGAAGTTGTTTCCTTCTACTTGCTTTCAACTGTTTGCGCAGTAGAGGTAAAGATTTTCCTTTACTGAACAAACGAAAGCTGTTTTTTCTTTTTGCTTTTCTTTTTTCGACCACTTACTTTACTCCTCATACAAAAGAATAACTAACAAAGGATTATGAGCAAAAAGGGATATAAATATAATTAGTGATAATGGCTCTCTTGGATTCAATAAAACCATATTTAAGTCCACTGTAAAACGGAAATCTTAGCAATCAATCCTTTTCTCTGAAGTAGCTTGATAATCTCAGCATCTTGGAACATTAAGCCAGCCGCAATTGTAAAGATCCACTGAGGAATATGGAGGCGATGTATTGTGAACTCTGTTGAGTGTTGGCTCAGTTTCAGTCTCATACAAAAGAATAACTGACAAAGGATTATGAGCAAAAAGGGATATAAATATAATTAGTGATAATGGCTCTCTTGGATTCAATAAAACCATATTTAAGTCCACTGTAAAACGGAAATCTTAGCAATCAATCCTTTTCTCTGAAGTAGCTTGATAATCTCAGCATCTTGGAACATTAAGCCAGCCTCAAGTTAAAAAGATTTTAACCAGGTTTCGAACTGAGTTTGAGAGATTCAGTGAATTAAGAAACGTGAGTATTATATAACATTTAGGCATTTTATGAAGAAATAAGTTGCACTATGTTTATTGAAGATCATGAAGGATGACCATAGAAAAAATGCCCTTTGTTACTCCTGAAATTGTAAGGATCCATTGAGGAATATGGAGGCGATGTATTGTGAGCTGTGCTGAGTGTTGGCTCAGTTTCAATGACAAAAATGGAAAAAAGATTATTGTAAAGTTTCATTTGCCTAAATCAGAAAGTTGTACATTGTAACTTTTATGATGGATCCACGTAATAGCTTTGTCTTCCCGAAATTGTTGTTGATATATCATTTACATATTTACTGCAGCTTGGATTACGGATGAGGATGCGGTCTCAAACGATTTCCCAAGATCCTCTCAATCGCTCGAGAGGAGAAATTGTTTTGGAAGTAACTTTCGCTATTCTGGTTTGCCTCGCTTCCGTACTTGGTAATGTGCTGGTTGTTTATGTTATTAATAGATACTCTGAGATGCAAACCATCACCAATATTTTCATTCACAATCTTGCACTGACTGATGTCTTGATGGCGACCCTTAGCATGCCTTTCTGGATAACGAGCTTGTACACGGGAAAGTGGAATTTGGGCCAAGAATGGTGTGAATTTTCTGCATCAGTACAACAAACCATGGGTTTGGCCTCCTTGCTCAATTTGGGCTTAATTGCTCTGAACAGATACGTAAAAGTCGTCAAGCGAGCTTTGTATACGAAGTTCTTTCCCAGTAAAAGAGTTACTTGGTTGTACTCTGGTTTTGTCTGGCTGGTTTCTTTGCTACTAGCTACGCCTCCATTGTACGGATGGGGAAAAATGAACTTCGACTCAGATTCCTTTATTTGTGTCTTCAACTGGAGGAATGAAAACGTTTCTTTTCTCATATTGCATGCAGGGGTCTTCAACGTGACAACCTGTGCGATAATTTACTCCTACTGGAAAATTTATCGCACAGTTAAAGAAAGCACGGATAATGTCAACGCCAATGTTGTACAAAATGGCGTCGGTGCACAAAGGTTTCATCGCACTGACATCGATGTTTTGAAGAGTTGTTTCACAGTGGTTTGTTTCTTTTTAATTACCTGGGGTCCAATGGGATTAGTCTGTTTTATAATTACTGTTGGAGGGCATATTCCACATAAAGTGCTTACGGTATCTGTGTATTTGTTGTTCTCCAGTAGTGTTGTAAATCCAATCATCTATGGGATAACTAATCCGCAGTTTAAACAGGCCTTCAAAAAGGCATTCAGTTGTGGTCGTTTTGGAAACGAAGATGAAGATCAGAGTCATGCACAAGTTACAGCTATAATGATACATCCGAGGAGCACTGAAACTTGATGACTTTTGGCCTGAAGATCTAAATACAATCGTTTTTTCCAAACCTTTATTTACGGGAAAAATGGGTTGATACTGGCTTCGTTCTGTTTTTATGTGTCGTGAGACTTGCCTCGGTCAAGTAAAAGACAAAAACAGACATTGGATATTTGAAACATTTTTTAGTTTGCTGTCGAAAGTATTCGGGATTGCACAGGTTTTTCTTGACTTTGCTCTGTGATTAAAGTAATCAACAAATTGTGTCGTTAGACTTGCCTCGGTCAAGTAAAAGACTAAAACAGACATTGGATATTAGAAATATTTTTTAGTTTTCAGAGCGATTGGCAAAGGAGAATTGGAATTGGGATCGCGGGAACTGGAATTGGAATCGCTCTCTGTAACCTTGGCCATATTGTGAAAGATTTTGCTACTGTGTAAGGGTTAGATTTTGGCGCGCACAGAAAGCTACGTGAGCGTAAGCGCCAGTTGCTACGTGGCCCGTGCGACGAAATAACTTCACGGGATTGGCAAAGTTTCAGTCACAGCAAATTGTAAGAGAAATCTAGAAAGACTTAAGCTTACATCTCGTCTAACGTTTAAAGCGACATATTAACGCCTGCAACCATTATGTTTTATGCGAACCTCGCAAACTTTAAAATACGTTCTCTTGTGATACCTGCGAAAGCATTCGGTATAATTTCTGGTAAGATTTTCGCAGACAATCTGATCGATTTCTCTTACATTGCGTGCTGATACTGAAACTTTTCACCTCGAGCAAAGCTTCGTCACACGGCCCAAACAAACAAGGCGAGCAACTGAACTTCTTGTACATCTCCGTGTTAAAACACACGAAAGGACTCTAAAGCATACTTCACTCTGATTGGGCAGAAAAACACAAAGATTTTCTGGCACCAATCAGATGCCAGAACGACTGCGACCGTTTGGAACTAGTCTTGTAAGACAATGTCCCCAGAGGCTCTTCCGCCCTAACTTGATCTTATCGTTAAATAGTTATTTAGGCGGCTCGGGAAAATGGTAAGCAGTAAAAAAAGAGGCTTTCGCCTTTTGTTCAGTAGCCTTCAGCTATTTGTTTAGTAAAGGGAAAACATTCTAATCTACTGTAAAAAAATTGAACTTTTTCTTTCGTTTTTGAGACATCTAAGCTGACCATTCACATCATAACATAAGTAATAAATGATCATAAAGAAAACTTTTTAAATAAATCGTTGATAACGGCTGTTTTGTATTTAAGTGTTCATATCTCAATAAAAGTGAATTTAAATCGACTCTTGTCCCTAAGCTTAAACCAAGAAGATTTGAAAATATAGGGAAATTATTCAATGCTTCTCTACTAGAGACATCGGGTGCCTTTTCTTTTAGGATAAAAAAAGTTTACTGTGGTGGCCTGATTTTTATTACCTTCCGGCAAACATAGTTTTTCTAACGGATAAGGATGCAGAAAAAGTTGGAAACGTAAATTGACCACCTTAAAGAGTTTCAAGGTTGACGTTTCGAGCGTTAGCCCTTCGTGAGAGCGAAGAACACAAATTACCCTGTTTAACTCAATACAGTTTTTACGTGACGGAATCTGAGGTTTCCAGCAACTACACTTGTAATATTCATAAGCCTCCACGCCTGAAAAAGAGGTCAACCGAAAAGAATACACCGTGGGAGAGATCGCCAAAAGGCGACAGATTTGATAGTCTATATGCATGCTCAGATACCGATCTTGGCGAAGTTCTAGTCCATTAAGTAATGTTTTGCGACAAAGAAAATAGGCATCTGTAGAGTAAGATTTATCGCGTTTGCTTCGGTATTAATTTCTCAAGATTTGCTTGACCGCTAAACATGTTTTTGCCCTTCCTAGTGCCTGTTGATAAAATTAAACAAATCGCCAAATTTGAGATAGATGAAGAAAACACAAATTGCAAATAGCGAGAAAATGCCTTCATAACACCTATTTTTCCGGCATTGATATGATCGGCAGGACGATTTTCTCAAATTTGTGAATTTGCCTGCTTCAATATTAATAGCCTGCAAAACAAGTTCGATGAGGTTCGACTATGGCTAGCTACTAATACATTCGACATTTTGACAATACAAGAGACTAAAATCGACTCAACTTTTCCTCGCTCAAAATTTCATGTCCAAGGTTTTAACTTTTATCGTGGCGGTGGCATTGTGGTATACATCAGAGACAATATAGCCGCTTCACGGAAGAAATTGAGAGGAAAATGTGTCGAATCAATGCTGTTTGACATGAAAATCGGACAACGACAGTTTGCATATATTACTGCCTAGAAGCCTCTGTTGACAACAACACATTCAAACGCGAACTCTGCGATCTTCTGGACGAAGCAAACAGCCTTTCTGAAAATGTGATTTTTACCGGAGACTTAAATTCGGACATCCTCCACCCACTTGATAATCACAAAGAGGGTCAGTGTTTACTGGATATGTGTGACATTTATGACCTTGACAGCCTTATTGATGTTCCTACGAGGATCAGTAAAAACAGGGAATCCTGTCTCGACGTTATTCTCACTAACGTCCCCGCGTTTGCCAAAGACTCGGGTGTCATTCATACGGGTCTAAGCGACCATGATCTCGTATATACGGTTCTGAAAACCCGACACATGCGATCAAAAGCAGAAACCATAACTAAACGATCCTTTAAAACTTTTGATAAGGATTCATTTCAAGCTGATTTATCAACAGTGCCTTTCTCTGTCTCATACGTGTTTGATGATCCTGACGATGTATATTGGTGTTGGCATCAACTCTACGATCAAGTTCTGGATGCTCATGCGCCCAAGATAACAGTTAAGAAACGCCCGTCACCGGCTGGAGTATTTAGAACAGACGAAATTCGGAAGACAATGCGGGACCGAGATAAACAGAAAAAGCGATATTTTACAGATCCAGGAATCTTCTTTTACAATGATACATCCGAGGAGCAATGAAACTTGATGACTTTTGGCCTGAAGATCTAAATACAATCGTTTTTTTCCAAACCTTTATTAGCCGGAAAAATGTGTTGATACTGGCTTCGTTTTGTTTTTATGTGTTGTTAGACTTGCCTCGGTCAAGTAAAAGACAAAAACAGACATTGGATATTTGAAACATTTTTTAGTTTGCTGTCGAAAGTATTCGGGATTGCACAGGTTTTTCTTGACTTTGCTCTGTGATTAGTCGAGTAAACTCGCAACACCCTCTCGACCAATCAGAGGCAAAGGTAAACCAAACCAGGACGTGGTCACCCGCGTTTTCCCGCGCTTTAGACAGTTTGTTAGATTTACTTTGAGTTCTCATTGTTTCTTAGGGCTTGATTACATTAGCTCGGCCCACCCAGCCCCTTTAATATCCACCGATAGCCACCTCCATCTCAATGAACTATCGTTCATTAACCTACGATTGAAAACGTAATTTCTGACGTTTCATTGACAAGGGAACAAATTAGTAAGAAATTAATATTCTGATGGCACATTGAAGAATTTCGCGTGGCATCATGGAGGTTTCGGGTTATATAAGGGTTTCGCTTGAAAATTAAGTCATTCAAGATCATTCAGTGTTATGTCTGACCATTTTGTTTTTTGTATGTGATTTAATTTTCATTTTCCGACTCCCCGTAAAATATCATTTTAGGTATGATTTTTTCCTTTGCGATTCATAGTGTAGCAAGGTTAGTTTTATCCTTTCTACGGGGTACTGTGCTGCTACATTAGGAGCCCCACATTTAAAGAGGTTTTTTTTAAGTTAGTTTTTCGTATCTGGCGAAGCACAGGTTCTCTTCTTAGCACCCTTTGTTTCATTGTACACATAAAATATAGATTTAACTAAGCCTAAGAACGGAGTTCTAGTAACTTTATTTTTCAGCCCTTCATTATAATAAAAACTGTACTAAAAGTCTTCAGCTCGGTAATTCTTATGTTTGACCATTGTGTCTTTTGTAAGTGATGTAATTTTCATTTTCCGACTCCCTGTAAAATACTATTATATTCATGATTTTTTTCTTTGTGATTGATAGTGTAACCAGGTTAGATTACCCTTTCCTCGGGGTACTGTACTGCTGCATTATGAGGAATACGTCTCCACATATTTTTTTGGCCACATTTAAAGAGTGTTTTTTTCAGTGGTTTTTTTGTATCTGGCGTACCACAGGTTCTCTCCCTAGAACCTTTAATTTCACTGTACACATACAGGAGCCCATTTCAGTAATGGGCTCCTGGCACATATTAAGATTGTACCAGGATGCGTTTATCAAAAGATTGACTGACTCATCCTTTGAAAATTTTTTCACACTGAATGTCTCGTGTTGTGAGTGTAATCTGAATGATATCTTGACTTTTCTGCCTCACTAGACCAAACGGCACTTGAGGTTTCTGTTAAAATTTAACCTAAGGATATGTTTATTACATACACAAAAGCGGAGGGTCATGAACAAAATCCATGGAAGAGCCAGCTGAGAGAAGCAAGAGCGATGGCCATGGCAGGTTAACTTTGCTGAAATTTGTTATTTGCCATTGGCACAACAGTAGCAAGGCTGCGCCTTGTAATACATGGGTCTCAATAATCCGGAGCTGTAATAAAGTATATTTCAAAATTGGAAAAATGATTCAATGTTTCTACAAGAGAAATCGGATGCCTTTTTTTGGGAAAACGAAGGTTAGTGAGGTAGTTTGAATTTTATCATCCTTTCACAAACTTACATTTCCTATCGGCTATGAATGGAAAACACGTCGATATGCGTTCTGTCGAGTGGGCGTAGTTAACGTTTTTCAATTCGCACCTCGTCACGTTAAAACAATCAAGAGAAAAGAACATTCACCGCTGCTTTACTTTGCTCCAAAAAAAAAATCATAACGAGAAAACAAAATGCGTGTTGAGCTTTAGCGCAGTTTTTATATCACCTAGGTAAGTCAGGTGCCGTTTTACGGTTAGAATACAAGCGGATAAGATCTGGAGCCGAATGCAAAATTACCTATAACTTTTGTATTTTTCATCGCAAACTTTGACTAAATTGG